GCTGAGCCCAGGGTGGGTGAAGCCATACTACTTGAGAAATATGGCCAGCATAAACAGCAGGCATAATCCAGTTCTCAATACTTAATTCACTGTAATGAATGGAGAAAGGCTGTTACTTTCCCTGTAAGAAAAACATGGTCAAGAACGCAACAAACATCTTTCACATCTTGAAAACCCTGATGCAAATCATCTCAAATTAGCACTCTGTGTAAGGTTCACATCATCAAAGAAACAGAAAGAGGGAAACCTTTATTCACAAGACAGACCAAAAACCTCTACAGTAGAATTTAAAAAGTTAGGATTATAGAGTGCAATCAGCTTCACTCTTAGTGTGGCACTTTGATTATAAACTACATGGATTTGTTGTCCTATTTCTCTTGATACATCACACAGAAGAAAGTACGAGGAGCATCATAAACACTGTTCTAAATAACTTCAAACTGGCCTCAAGGGACTATTTTACTGTAAACTGCTCTAAGGAGATTTTAAATATCATCTCAGTAATTATAGTGAGTCAATCAGCACCTACAAAATAGCAACCTTCCTGATTAGCAACACCCCATGTTTTCTGGTGTATGATACAGCCAACAAAACTTATTCATCCAACAAAGATAACAAAATATTGACTACGGGTAGCATGGTACAATTATTTACATACCAATTACATCACCTTGTCATCACTGTAAATCACCCTAATGCTGAAGCAATCGATACTTATTTTAAAACAGGAGAAGAAAGACAATAGCAAAGATCACTCTGTGACTTGTTACCGACCAAAGAAGTTGGGGGAAAATATTTGTCTTAATGATCTTAATAGGAAAATCTTGTTCAATTTCACATAGTTACCATGTCAACTGTCCCGATTTTGGTTAAAACAGAACTTACTCTCTTTAGTGAATCCTCCTTACAGCTAAGTTCTTCTCAGTAACTGCACCCAACTCCGGGAAATTCAGTGTCGGTTTTCTATATTTTGTATTATTTCTCTTATTATTAATATTATTAGTATTACTAGTCTTATTAGTAATTATTAGTAATAATTTTCAATTTATAAGTGTCTCTCCCTTTTCCTCCTTTTCCCTTCCACTGGTGGGAGGGTGGGGTTTAACAGAGAGCATCTGCCACTCAGTTTTATTGCTGCCCTGCGGTGACATCAACACAGGAGATATTATTTCAATCTCAAAGTCAATTTTTCACTACGAAGAGGGAAAGGCTGTTTTAAAACCACAGCTCTTCAGACATACAGCATCCACTCACAGTGCTGTCCTGGAACTACTAATTGGCCTAATAACACGATATACTACTGAACAACTAAATAAAGTATATTTTTAAGTCTTAAATGGCTTCATATGCAACTTAAATATTTGACCACATTCAAAAAAACACAACCATAACTTTTTTCGTCCAAAAAATAAAGTTTTTAGCAAAAGTGAGAAGACAAAAGACACAGCTTGAGGCTGACTTACACCTCTTTTGTTCACATTCTACGCTGTCATACCAATATTCGCTGTAACTCAAAGGCAGCAAGAAGCAGACTTACAGTATTCTGATGCAGTACCCAGGACTTACTTAAAAAGAGCTTCTTTGTCAAATACAGTGTCTGCAGGCATATTCACAGGAATAAGAAGGTCTGGATGGGAATCAAGATGAACAAAGCTGATGTTACTGGCAGGAAGATGCTTTGAACCAATGGCACGATAGATGAAAGGCAGCACCTAAAACAACACAGATAAAAATGTTTCCACTGTAACCAGCGAGCTGAAAAATGCAGTGGCTTTAACAGCAGAAACACTAGTCCCACTCTTCTTCCTTTCAATTTGGGTTAGACTGGGGAGGAGATGGAAAACAATACAAAGGGGAGACAACCCCAGTGGCAAGACAGCTCATGAACTGCAATCATTATGAGCCCGAGCTCCACACGAGAAGCTGCTGAAGAATCACAGCTCTGCTCTCTCTTTCCTTCTTCATAGGAAATTTTATTTGTAGAAGCTCTTCTCACTAATCATGTAACTCAATTCCTATTTTTTTTATTTACAACTGAACCCCAGGAATGCTTTGCCTCTTTTGCAGAACACTGCCCCTCCATTGCCTCCTCCATGCCCTAAAGCTTCCTCACCACGCATGGGTGCTGTGGAGATAAAAACACCCCATTACTTCTGTTTTGTAAGTTAACTGATAGACCGTGAAAACTGACTCCACCCTCATTTAAACTATAGCTGATCTTTTAACCTATCCCCCTCGAAGAAAGGGCTGAACTCCTAATCCCTACATGATTTAGTGGCTGCAATAGAGACTTCCTTTCTCAACTACCCAACCTTACTCCCTGGTGAAGGTCTCCACTCAAACGTGGGAAAAACAGGAGATGAGGCAACTCATCAATCTATAGCGTAGCAAACCACTGAAATGCAATAATGTAGGGTGGTAAAATGAGAAACCTGATGGCTGATTCACGATACCTCTTACATCAAACTGCAGTACACGGAGTCCCTCTCACAGTTACGGGACAGTAACTGCCTTGGCTGCCAGAACAAATCCAGCAAGGACTGTGAATCACAGCCCTATTACGCAGGGAATGTGAAGACTGTAAAAGCACCGAACAACAAAAATTACACGTGACCTCTACACTACAACAGAAACCGAGCTAATTTTTTGGCATAGAACTGATTAAGAAGAAGAATCCTGTGTACTGCATGGGCATAACCATAAAACATGACACAGCTGAAGTTTGGACTGCATTCCATCTGTCTAGGAATAAATTCCTCAGTTTACCCACTATATGCAGCTGTATGTATACTACTGCAACAGTAAATAAAACAAGGTTAAAACTAACAAGGGTTCCCTGATCCATGACTTTTATGTCTTTGGATAAAGGAAGTAATCTGGCCTACCTAACAACCTACAATCTGTGCAACTGAAGTTTCACCTCAGGTGAGTGTTACGACAGATTGCGAGACCAGGAGAAGATGGAGGAAGACACGAGTGACTAGGATCTCTAACCTTGCAAGTTCTCCTGCTTTGGATTAAGAACAAAGTCTCCTTTACACTAGCTGTTATTACTAATCAAAGTATGATACATCTCGTGACACCTTGCCCTAGGAACATCAGTGTCAGCAAAGGACCATATAAAGTTTCTGTGAAGTTTGTAGTACACTTTGGGATGAAAAGGCCTTATATTCTTTATGCAAGATAGACCAATACATACAGATGCATACACTGAAAATGCAGCGTGTGTATTTAGTATGAATAGACTTCGTGAAGTTAATTGAAAACAAAAGTATAGACAGTAAAACAAAGACGAATCATTAACAGCCATCATCTCCGTGCTCCTATCACAGTGACACTCTTAATTCTTCGTTACCATGGAAAACCAGCTATCACAGCAGCATATATTTCAGTCAGTCTTAGCAAAAATGACCTGTGTTAAACTATTAACTCACAAGTTCAGAACATTATTTTCTTTAATAAACATTATTACACTAAAATTTTTTGATTGCAAGACACTGGCAGCGTTAATATTTTTCATTCTTATCACCACAAGGTCTTCACGCCCCCAGCAACCCTCACTGACACCATCAGGCTTCCTCCCCTGCTACTACAGACAAACCATAGGGCTACAAGGATGATGAGGGGACTGGAACATCTCCCCTACGAGGAGAGGCTGAGGGAGCTGGGCTTGTTCAGCCTGAAGAAGAGAAGGCTGAGAGGGGACCTTAGAAATGCTTATAAATATCTGCAGGGTGGGTGTCAGGAGGATGGGGCCAAGTTCTTTTCAGTGGTGCCCAGTGACAGGACAAGGGGCAATGGGCACAAACTGAGACACAGGAAGTTCCGTCTGAACAGGAGGAAGAACTTCTTCCCTCTGAGGGTGACAGAGCCCTGGAACAGGCTGCCCAGGGAGGTTGTGGAGGCTCCTTCTCTGGGGATAATCAAGACCCGCCTGGACAAGGTCCTGTGCAGCCTGCTGTGGGTGACCCTGCTTCAGCAGGGGGTTGGACTGGGTGACCCACAGAGGTCCCTTCCAACCCCTACTATTCTGTGATTCTGTGATTCTGTGAAACCAGAAAAAGCAGTTCAAAACCAGCTCCTTCTTCGCCCCCTTGTTAAATTACTTAACTAAAAAAGAAGAATTCCAAATTTACCATTTCTCATCAAGCGGCACTCATTCTACTCGTTAAGATGTGATTGTATTTACCAAATTGCTGCCGACACGTCATACACTCTGTAGGGCTGAGTTTCCAAGCACTGCACTGTGCCTAACTAATTTTAATAGCAGTGTAATGTAGGTATTATTTCCTTTTAACTACAGCAACTATGACCCAAAGAAAAAAAAAATGTCAGCAATAATTGGTGAAAAAGATGCCAAAATCCAATCATGGCATTAATTAACCTGAATCATTGAATCAGGAAAGAAATTCAGGTCACCTGGGAACTAAACGCCATTTACCAAGCAGATGAACCCTCTATAGACAGATAGGAGTGGCCTCACATTCACAAGTCCTGGTCCTCATGGGGGACTTCAACCACCCCGATATCTGTTGGAGGGACAACACAGCAGGGCATAATCAATCCAGGAGGTTTCTAGACTGTGTTGATGACAACTTCCTTTTCCAAGCTATAGAGGAGTCCACGAGGAGAGGTGCTGTGCTGGACCTTGTCATCAGCCACAAGGAGCGGGTGGTGGGGAATGGGAGGCTCAAGGGCAGCCTTGGCTGCAGTGACCATGGAATGGTGGGGTTCAGGATCCTTAGGGCAGTGAGGGGAGCACACAGCAAGCTCACAACCCTGGACTTCAGGAGAGCAGACTTTGGCCTCTTCAGGGACCTGATTGGTAGAGTGCCATGGGATAAAGCCCTGAAGGGAAGAGTGGCCCGAGAAAGCTGGTTAATATTCAAGGATCATCTCCTCCAAGCTCTGGAGTGATGCATCCCAACAAAGAGGAAGTCAGGCAAAAATGCCAGGACGCCTGCATGGACGAACAAAGAGCTCCTGGACAAAGTCAAGCACAAAAAGGAAGCCTACAGAGGGTGGAAGCAAGGACAGGCGAATTGTCCAAGCACCCAGGTATCAGGTTAGGAAGGCAAAAGCTCTGACAGAATTAAATCTGGCCAGGGATGTCAAGGGCAAAAAGATAAGCTTCTAGCTACATCAGTCATAAAAAGAAGGCTAGGGAAGATGTGGGCCCTCTCTGGAAGGAGATGGGAAACCTAGTTATCAGGGACATGGAGAAAGTTGAGTTACTCAATTACTTTTTTGCCTTAGTCTTCACCAGTAAGTGCTCCAGCCACACCACCCAAGTCGCAGATGGCAAAGGCAGGGACTGGGAGCATGAAGAACTGCCCACTGTAGGAGAAGAGCATCTGCGGGTCCTTAGGCAGCTGGGGGATGAAATTGCTAAGCCACTATTCCTGAGGGAAATTGTGGATGAAGTTACTAAGCCACTACCCATCATATTTGAGAAGTTGCAATAGTCCAGTGAAGTTCCCACTGACTAGAAGAGGGGAAACATCACCCCCATTTTTAAAATTTTTAAAACTCCAGGCCAGTTAGTCTCACCTCTGTGCCCGACAAGATCATGGAGCAGATCCTCCTGGAAACTATGCTAAGGCACATGGAAAATAAGGAGATGGTTAGTGACAGCCAGCATGGCTTTGTTAAGGGCAAATCACGCCTGACAAATGTGGTAGCCTTCTACGACAAGGTTACAGCATTGGTGGACAAGGGAAGAACAACTGACATCATCTACCTGGACTTGAGCAAAGCATTTGACACTGTCCCGCATGACACCCTTGTCTCTAAATTGGAAAAATGGATGGACCACTCAGTGGATACGCAAATGGCTGGATGGCTGCACTCAAAGAGTTGTGGTCAATGGCTTGATGTCCAAGTGAAGACCAGTGAAGAGTGGCGCTACTCAGGGGTTCGAACTGGGACCAGTGCTGTTTAACATCTTTGTCAGCAACACGGACAGTGGGATTGAGTGCACTCTCAGCAAGTCTGCAGATGACACCAAGCTGTGTGGTGTGGTCAACACGCTGTAGGAAAGGGATGCCATCCAGAAGGACCCTGACAGCTTTGAGAGGTGGGCCTGTGCGAACCTCATGAAGTTCAACAAGGCTGAGTGCAAGGTCCTGCACGTGGGTCTGGGCAATCCCAAGCATAAATACAGGCTGGGTGAAGAATGGATTGAGAACAGACCTGAGGGGAAGGACTTGGGGATGCTGGTTGATGAGAAGCTCAACATGACCTGACAGTGTACGCTCGCTGCCCTGAAAGCCAACTGTATCCTGGGCTGCATCAAGAGAAGCATGGCCAGCAGGCTGAGCGAGGTGATTCTGCCCCTCTGCTTAGCTCAGGTAAGAAGCCACCTGCAGTCCTGTGTCCAGCTCTGGAGCCCTCAGCACAGGAAAGACATGGAGCTGCTGGAGTGGGTCCAGAGGAGGGCCACAAAAATGATCAGAGGGAAGGAACACCTCTCCTATGAGGAAAGGCTGAGAGAGTTGGGGCTGTTCAGCCTGGAGAAGAGAAGGCTGCGGGGAGACCTTAGAGCCTTAAGAGCAGCCTTCCAGTACCTGAAGGGGGCCCACGGGAAGGATGGAGAGGGGCTTTTCACAAGGGTGTGTAGGGATTGGAGAAGGAGTAATGGCTTTAAACTGACAGATATAAGAAAGAAATTCTTTACAGAATCACAGACTCACAGAACGGTGGGGGTTGGAAAGGAACTCTGTGGGTCACCCAGCCCAACCCCCTGCCCAAGCAGGGTCACCCAGAGCAGGCTGCACAGGACCTTGTCCAGGTGGATCTGGAATATCTGGAATATCTCCAGAGAAGGAGACTCCACAGGCTCCCTGGGCAGCCTGTGAGGCCCTGGCCCAGGTTGCCCACAGAAGCTGTGGCTGCCCCCTCCCTGGCAGTGTTCAAGGCCAGGCTGGATGGAGCTCTGAGC